GTTAATTGTACCCTTTATTTTTGTTGGCTTTAAGGTGGTGAAATTGTGATATGTTAATCCATGGTGAGACACAATTTTCTTTACCCATTTTACAACTAATTCACTTGCTATAGTTAAAAGACACTTTTGGAATTGTTACAAAAATAAAGGTTTCATTTGATGTTTACTGGAATAATTGATTGAAGAGAAATGCTATGGAGCCAACAATTGGATAAGTTAGATAAGTTGATAAGTGACACGGGATAAGTTGATTGAATAATTTGAATTAGAAATTATGACTAGATGATCGAATTATTCATCTTTTTCTAAATTCACCGTTTGAATTAAAAAAAAGTACTAAAACGTGATTTATCAACAACTAAATTAGAGGTTCTGACGTTACAAGCTCATATTTAACCTCGAATTATTACCATACAAGGAGAGAGTAAAAAAAGAAAAAGGATGGATTAGCATATGCTTTGTTACATCACAAATTCTCATTCCAATATAAGATCTTACCTAATTATTAGACAGGTCGGTCTGTCATACTTTTATAACATAAATGCATACAATTTCTTTTTTATATTTTATGAGATAACATTTCATTATAAAATATACTAGTACAATACCCGTGTATTATACGGGTGTTGAATTAGAAAGTTTTTGAAAAAAATATTAAATTTTTTATTTTTTTAAAAAACTAAAATAATTAAATTTTATATAAAATATTACTTAGGGTTTTAATTAAATTGTCAAATTATATTTTTTTAATCATAATAATTAAACACCCGTACATTAAATGAAAATGTCAACTCGTGTTGAATTGTTTATTTATATCATATAAAAATATCGATATTATTTATTATTACAAAAGTACAAAAATATATATCTTAAATAAATAGAAATAATATGGTGATATATATATGCATAAGTGTAAAATATCCTATTTATTTTGGAGTTGGAGGGCATCGGATTAAACAAATATAATTGTATTAATTTTTATCCGAACCAAAAGTCGAAGCATGTAATGTTGCCAAGTAAACTTCCGAAGCGTGCGAGCCAGCCCTTTAGGCTCAACACGTTTTGAAATTATATTAAGGGGATGTATATTTGTTGAAAATTTCTCAACCTAATTCTTAGGCTATCACAACTAGCATTGTAAACGAGTCGAGACGAGCTCGAGCTTAGAGTACTCGAGCTTAGAGTACTCGAGCTCTAGCCCTTAACGAGCCGAGCTCGAGCTTAGAGTGCTCGAGATCTAGGCTTTAACGAGCCGAACTCGAGCTTAGAGTGCTCAAACTCTAGCCCTTTACGAATCAAATCTATCTCGGCTCGGTAAGTTAACGAGCCAAATCAAGTTCCAGCTCAACTCGTTAAGTTAACGAGTCAAATCGAGTTTGAATTCAAGTCGTTTCTCAATATTAACGAGCAGTCAAATAGTCCATCACGAACTTTAACGAGTCGAACTATATAAAACTATATGAAAATTATCTTTTCGAGACTTATGAAGCCAAATCGAGCCAGACTGTTAACAAAACAAGCTTTAAATGATCAAGAACTCGACTTGTTTATCAAACGACCCAAGCTCACGAACAGGTCGTTTCTTTTGGAAGTTGTAATCACAAGTTGTATTCTAGACCCAATTCATCGTATACTACAGCCATCAGATTCTTTCATCAGGCAAAGATACCATGCTTGAAAATTAGTACTATATAAGATACTGAAATTACAGAGGAAACTCAAGTAAGGCAGCATTCCACATTAAAAAAACCAACGAAACGATCAACTTAGTACCAATGTACCATATATTCCTACACAAAGTAGTAGAGCATAAGATACATAATATACTACTACCACACAACACAATGGATTACCCTAAATCCATGTACTGAATTAGCTTCCATAGACAACAAAACAAAGCCTAAGCATAGCTAAGATCACATAAAAGACCGTATTAATTAGTCGAACTCCACCAAAAACTGATGGCCGCACGAAATCCGACCTCAAAATCCTGAAAATTGAGCTTTTCATCCGCACCCCAAACCGCGAACGAACGATCTCGCATCACAAAAACATTAACCGTACATCGATAATATTACTAAATAACACATACATACATACATACGCACACCATCTCTAAATTAGTAAAGTCAAATTCAAAGTCATCAAGAGTGCAAAAAGTCGGTCAACTCGTCCATAAGGCACCGAAAATGCTCGTTGTTCGGCAAGAAATAGAACCCTATCGTCGCCTTCTCGAGAAACACCAACCGAACATCGTGCCCGTTTTCCTTCAACCAATCCACATAACCCAATTGCCAATCTTGCAAAAGATCCAACCCGGCCACCACAACCAAACTCTTGGGAAAATCGAGCCCCTTAACGGGCCGGGCCCTAGGCCCAAACACATTACAAGCCGGGTGATCCCTATCCTCACCTTCGGGCAAATAAGCCCGCCAATACCAATCCCGATCCTCGATTTTCACAAAATACTTCCCGTCCAATCTTTTTTCCGATTCCGTCCTTTCCTTCCCGCCGAACAAAGGGTGCAACAAAATGACGCCCGAAACCTCGACTTTTTCCTCGGCTGCCCGAGCCGCCACGTGGTGGGCTATGTTGCCGCCCGAGCTGTCGCCCGCCAGGTAAGCGCGAACTTTTAAATCCTCCCCTTGGCCGCCACTTGTCAGCCAGGGCCTTGACCGGGCCCACATCAAGGCCGCCCAACCGTCCTCGTAGGCGGCTGGGCAGCGGTGCTCCGGCGAGCGGCGGTAGTTAACCGAGACAACTGCCGCTTGACAGGTGGCGACGAGGCGGCGGCAGAACGTGTCGTATATGGCGCTGTTTGCGGAGGAGTGAACGAAGCTTCCGCCGTGGAAGAAGATTATGACGGGGACGGGCTTGGTAGAGCTTAGGGGGTTATTGGGCTCGGGGAATCCGTAAATGGGCCCAAGCCCGTTGTCGGTGGCGGGTAAGTAGACCCGGTTGAGGAGGCCCGTGGAGCGGTTTATGATGACATCGAAGGAGTAGACTCCGGCGATGGGGTTTGAGTTGGCGGGTACTTTGCGGTCGAGGAATTCATTTAAGTCGCGGTCGAACGAGCCGTCGGGCTTTCGGAGCATGTTGTAGGCAAGCTTGAAGTTTGAGATTAGGATCCATGTGTTGAGAGGTACCACTCTCTGCAAAAAATTGAAAAAAAAAAAATAAAAAAAAAATGGTGAGAGTTTAAGAATAAAGATTTGGACTTTGGATTGAAGGGAAGAAAACAAGAATGGAAGGGAAAGAAAAAGTGTGTGTGTAAAAGTGTTTGCAAATGAGAAGACATGTGCAGACATAAAAAGTAAAGGAAATTGGGGGAATTGAGCAAAGCAGAGCTAAATAAAACCCCAACATACAGAACAGAAAATCAATTTTGTTTCCACTGCCAAAATCAGTAAGGAAGAGTGAAAAGAAAAAACAAAGAGTGGGAGGAATATCATAAGGGGGGCCAAACAAACACAGGCAATAGAAAAAGCAACCAAAGCCCTCTAAATCAAACAGAACAAAGATTCGATCTTTAACCATGAAATCGGCTGTTGCTTACAAAATCAGCTCAAGCCCAGAAATTAAAAGCCAAGAATTGAGAGAACCCAGGAAAAATAATATCCCAAATGATGAACTAAAATGTTGAATTCAGAGAGTGAAAATGGAGCAAATATGTGGAAATTTATTTATTTTTACCTTCGATTCGTTAGTGTTCACATCATTACTCCCAGCCATGGGCCGCCCTCAAAAATTGAAATAAAAAAAGTTGGTAAAAAGGAGAAAAATGAAGAAAGAGGAGTCTTTTACAGCAAGTATTAAATTTCTTTTTTTTTTTCTTGATTCTGAGCTTTTCTGAACTAGAAACAAAGAAAATCGAGAAGGGTTCTGAAAATATGCAGATAGACCAATACAGTGCTTTTTTTCCCCTAAATCCTAAACCCAACAAGACTTGAGGAAAGATCAAAGAGAGAATAAAAACACAGCAGTGAAAAAGGAGAAAGAAAATAAACACTAAAGAAGAGGGTTATTTATAGCCATAATGTTGAAAATTTCCCCCTTTTTTTTTTAAACAAAAAAAAAATGGCAGATAAAAATTGAAGCAGCCTGAGAAATTTACTGTACAGAAGAGAGAGAAAGCAAGAGTGTGTATTTTTTTTTCCTAGAGAGAGGAAAGAGAAAGGGGGGCGGGGGTTTATGGGGCCTCAAAAGCGGAGAAAACGACGATTGATCAAGGCGGAGAGGACGAGGGAAACGACAAAATGGGGCGGCCAAAAAATTTCTTTTAATTATTTATTACTGAGCCCTTTTTTCCAGGGTGGGGCCCACGGTAATTATATATCAATTAATAATTATGTAATCACTAATCACATTTTTCGAATCTAATTTGTGGTCGTAATTGCGTACTCGTAATAGGCGCGACTGGCGCGATTATAGTCCAAGTCTTTCTTTATCTTTTTTCTTTTTGGTGCACGATTTTAATCCAAGTTAATTGGTAGTAATATTTTTGGCGTGTCCATTTTTTAATTTCGAATCACAAAAGGCAATATTTCATTGCAAGTTAATATGGATAGTTGTAGTATGTGTATAGTATAAAACTAAATATATCAAGATACATATGTTCATAACATATCAATTTTTACCAATTTAAATATATTTACACCAATTGGTATCTCTACATATCTTACATTGAAATATATATTTCTAAATTTAATTATTTCAATTTTTACCACTTGAAAAAAATATGATTGAAGTACATACTTTGAAAATAATTTTTTTCCAACAATTAGAAGTACAAAATATCAAGTTACACAAACTGCTGATTTTTGGCAGAGGGTAAAAGGCCACATAATAGGAAAGAAAGTCCACATGATTGATTGGTTCCATTTTTTTCCTCCCACAAGGAAAAGATTTTTCACTTATTTTGTTTTGTTTGCAAATTGCAATGAGAAGAAATGGACACAGTATAACTAAAGTAAATAAATAAAAAAAATGGTCATCG